AAAATATTTCGGAATGATCACACCAAAAAACGTTTCATTTGGGTCAATTTCTTGTTTGTTTGGAGCTAAGCACAAAGTTACACAATGGGCTACCTACGCTGTGCTCACCACGAGTATCGAAACCCAGTTTTAGCGTTGTAAGTCCACAGACATACCGCTGAGCCACTGGATGAGCGAACAATTTCTATCGCATATAAAGACTTCACATTTCGTCAGAATATTATCCATTTGATTAATAAATTATTAAAGATTTTCATGAATATAAGAAGAAAACAAAAAGAGATGACGTTTTATAGTGGAGTTTCTTGGGCATATTAAAACGGAATAAATATATGCTTCTTTGTTTATTGTTCTTCCTTCTGGTCAACTGTGAACAAGACAAAACAATGAAGGCTCTACTGAGAACAAATTTATTGATCTTACCTCACACAATCTTTGAAGCTTAAGTTGGTCTAATTTTTCTGTTGCCGTGGCTGCAAGGTGCTCTAATATCGTAGGTGCTGGAGGAGTTGTGATGTCGAGATATCTAGAGAGGGCCGTGTGCATGGTGCACGGAGGAAGTCGATTGTATGGCTGCCAGACGCCATCTGGAATAAGATTATCTGTAAGTTTCTCTAGCTTTAAAGCACTTGCATTCTTAACATGACAAATCAATTTGACTGGAAAATGTTTGGAAAACAGTTACAATTGTTTTTTGTATTTTACTTGGTTTTGCTTCAAGCACACCAAAGTAAAACCAGTAATACACGTACAAGAATCTAAAGACGTACGCGACAACTTGGCTGTTAATTTTTAACTTAGAGGGCTAAAATGTTAGTATATTTAGTACATTATTTCGTTCTTAACGGACTTGCTTGTTTGTCCACAATAAATTATTGTTTTACATCTTTAAGTTCTCTTTAGAGGGAACAGAACATTTAAAAATAAGTAACTAAAATTTTTCTGAAGTTAAAAACCATTTGTGCTATTTAGGAAATTCTTAGAGTTCTATAGGATATAACCATAACAACTCTCAGAGTTCATGAAGACATTACCATGACAACGCTCAGAGTTCTTAAAGATATTACCTTAGCAACTTTCACATTTCAGTAAATTATTACCATGGGGATTCAGAGTTGTTTAGGGTGTTACTATTATAACCCAGTTTGTTTTTAAATAATATCATCACATCAACCTGTTCGGGCCAAACCTACCCACAAATGTTTCGACTTGAACTAAGTCTCTCTCAGACCTATCCGAAGGATCCAGAAACGACATGATCTGGTTAACAACGTTTGAAGGATTAACAGGGAAGACGCTCAGGTGATCGCCAGGTTCGTATGTCAAATTTGTGGCTTGTCTTGTGTCTAGTCGTACTAGAATTGTCTGTCGTCTGAAAACAAAATTACTGCATTGGTACATTTTCAGACTGATTGAATTGTAAACTTTTATTTTTAAGTTAAATCTACCGCGAAATAAAGCAACGTGTTTCAGTCAGTTTATTCTGTACTTTTAACACAACATCTCTTCATATTATCTAGCTTTTCTAAAAGATCTCATTTAAAAAGTTAACACATTAATGACAACATTTTTTTCTAAAGTGGCGACATCTGTAATCTCACTGAAATACTAACCGCAATGTTAAAATATAATAATATTATTACAGCCATTATAATTATAGTATGTGTGATTTTTAAATAGAACCATTATTTTAAATAAAATATAATGAACCATAACAGGTATTTTCTATAACATAACGTTGTATCCAACTTACTCAGAACAGAGAGGTTGGAGACGGATCCTGGACAAGACCTTGCATGGTTGTACCTTCTTATTATGAACGTTGGCCAGACCTAACGTGATGATACAACCATTTAGTGAATATAATAACTTCAAAATCCTACTCAACTGTATTACAAAACTTCAGAAATTATTTTTCATATAAACTATTCTGAATTTCACAGTTTTATTATTCTTAAAATTTACGGTTTCGCTATTCGATAAGTTAATATATCGCAACCTAAAAACACTTGATTTATCTGTTGCCAATACACTAAGTCATTATTGACTTGATTATTAGAATCTAACGTCCGTGTTTACCTTCGCATATATCATGATGTATTCCTTCTACGACAGATGTCCTAAATTTGTCTTTATTCCACTGGCTTACTGATTCTAAGGATATCATGGAAGCGTCACTACTGAGGGCAAAATTGTAGGAACTGCAGGCAACCTATGAGAGTAATTAGGAGATTTGTAAATAATATAAAAACACAATATCGACTTCTTTCAAATGACTTGTATATCGATTTGATAATATCCGAATATAAAGCTGTTTACATTCAAAATCAGGCAACCTGTAGAGTTAATTAGCCATGTAAAGTAAGTAGTAATATTTAAAACAGCATTATTACTTACTTAAAACACGTGAAGTAAGTTTTAATATTTAAAACAGCATTACGTATTTGTCACATTAAAATTGGAATAATTAACATCTATTACGATCTTTAAAAACACTAGCAGAAATACTTGCCTTCCTGACATGCTTGACATTCAATAATGTTCACCATCCATGAGAAAAGGGATTTTATTGAAATTTTAGTTAAAAAATTAGCTATCATCACGGCATTACATCACCGAGAAGATTTTATTGAAGTATTTCTTTGTAGACGCAGTTATCAATTAAAGTGTCATGCTTTTCTGTTGCAACACTCATGAGATTTTCACGTTTAATGACTGTAACATAATTAACAGGTAAAAAACAAAATAAAAACACTAAAGACACGTAATATATTGAAAAGGTCTCCTGAATTTTCCGCTTATAATATGCACTATTTACAATAATAACACAGCTTTGATGATATTTTATATTTTATTTTCATCCAACTATCATTATTATTGGTTCCATGCAGCGGCAGAATAGTACTGTGTCTTATTTTGCTGAATGTGTATATACATGTAATAATTCACATAAAATATACACCGTTTCATTTGCTAAGATTCGAAACCAAATCAACTAAAAGCATTATCCTACTAGTGCTTTATCCCTTTAAGTACATCTGTTCAAATATCCATATTCAAGAGAAAGAACTCTCCCCTCATATCAACTTATAGAAATATCTATATCACCCTTTCAAATGAGCTTACACCACCTCAAGGAGTAGGCACAGACACAGTATCAAGCTGGTACAATCTTCTGTGTGATAGCCATTTATGTAAGAAAAATTTTCTATAAAAACAATGTTTATAGTGTGTTTACGACCTTTTTACATGAAGTGTAGCTGGAAGACTTCAACTATAAGCAGAACATTTGCATGAAAATTTAGAAAATCATCCTGAATAGATCTGAATAAAGATACATTCTGCACTAGTTATAAAAAGGTAAAATATAATGACGTCAGTATCATCACGCTGAAATATCAAGATGATTAAAGAAGAAGAATACACTAATCTTCAATGAAAAACAATACACCATAACGTTTTTACTGAAGTATTTGAAAGTATTTCGTTGCTTTATATTGTATACATGCTAATACTTTTGTATATATGCACCACTATTCTACATTTTGTTAACAGTTGTATTAATACACAGACTTATTACTAGCTTTAAAATATGCATAAAATAGTCCTCTAGTGCTAACATGTTAACTGTTTTTTCATGTTATTTCAGGTATGGAGTTTTCGCTCTGGGATCGAGCCAATATCCAACGTTTTGCGCTTTCGGTAAGAATGTCGACGAAACGTTCAACGCTCTTCAAGCCAAGCGCCTCCTGGCGGTCGGTTTAGGAGATGAGCTTCGGGGTCAGGAACAAACTTTCAACAAATGGGCAAAAGAATTCTACGAGGTTTGTGTGTAATGTTAATAAAGCATCAGTTTCGAAACCTGTTGATATTTTCCCTAAAATAAAACTTAAATAGGTCGACAGATGTATGTAGTGAAACTTTATGATGTATATGTATATATATATAAACTTTATATTATATACAAACATTCTATTATTGATGCGTTTTATAGAACTGTAAACCTTACATAAAAATAAGACGACAATTTAGATAAAAGTTAAAAATATATATTTAGTATAGTAAATCCCATTTCATGTAACTAATTTAAATCACAATATTTATTTGTCTTCTTTTTTCTGTTATACAGCATTTTTGGAAGCAACTGTTCCAGATGAAGAAAGAACAATTAGTAACTTTAAACCATTTGAAGTAAGTAGTAATATTTAAAACAGCATTACTATTTACTTAAAACCATGTGAAGTAAGTAGTAATATTGAAAACAGCATTACTATTTACTTAAAACCTACAGATTAAATTTTCTAATCGCCACAAAGTTTAAGAAACGTTCAGGTAGATAACTCACTTTTCCGTTGTCAGGGGGGTTTCCGTTGCCGAACGTACTCGTTACTACAATAAACAGTGATTCTTGCTCCAGGTTTCTGACATCATAATCCTCCATACACATGACCTTAAAAAGATGGACGTCGTCTCAGTGTTACAATAAATAATACAATACAAAATAATATTGAAGCTGTGAACTATTGTTGATGTTTATTAGAACATGTTTCTTGTCCACACTCTCAAACACACTTTGAGAATACCATGGAAACCACACCTAACTCAAGAAAACTGTTTCTCTGAACTTTTATTTAAAGTATACAGTGTTCTTTAAGTAAACCAGCACTTCTAAATTTTCATTGTTAACTCGTAATATAAAACGAGTGTAACGTCAGAAGGCGAAATAACATTTGTATTACTGTAATTATTATTATAATTACTGTTTTCTATTTTGTAGTCTTAATAACAGTTTAATTTAATGTCGTCAGGGCTTTATGGTTTTCCACCTGTTTGATGGCCAAAGTTCGAATGAGTAGAGTTAAAGCAACCATCCTATACGCTTCTGAGACAGGAAAATCTGAAATGTTTGCAGAGCGATTGGGGCGCCTTCTAGAAAACACTTTTAACACCACAGTGAGTATTTATTTGTTGAACCGTTCCATAATAATTATGTACGTTAAGTGATTTGAAAATATTCTATCTGTAGTCCAAACGATAAGACCAGAGATTAAATATTGGCATTTTGGTATTTATTAGTGTTATGTGTGGATTATTTTATTTCTCGATCTTTAGAACAATGTTTGAATCACTCGTGTTGTCACAATCAAGAAACGTCTACAATATTGAACTCTTAGTGCACCAAACAGTTCCTAGAAACGTTCGATCTTGAAAATGTTTTATCTCAATAGAATAAGAACTAACTATATTTTTATCCATGTTACAAAAACTTCCCCAATCACTATGTCGTTACAGTTTTGTGTGAAGAAGTGTATTACAGCCCAAACTCAACAGCTCTTGTTAATGAAGTCCAGCCAAACTGGACCCTCATTATGGGCAGACTGACACAGGAGTAAGTGCTTGGGCTACTTTTTAATATTTACATTAATGGTATTGATAGAAGCAGTATTAGTAAATTAATAAAGTTTTCTAGATATTTCTAGCTGTATTAAAGATATTAGATATTATTTGAAACATTTGTTTAATTGAACAAATATTTGGGTAATAATCTTTATTTATAGTAATTACAAGATAATGTATTTCTTGTAACACACTTTGAATCGCACTGAAGAAAAGGATCTGGTCATAGTGGTGGAAAGGACACTTAAAGCCATCGAAGCAGTGCTCCCTTCCTGTAAGTTAATATAATTTTAGGATGTACTAATAGGCATATTGATTAGAAGTCACAAAAGACTATTATCTCTATACAAATTACTAATTACACCTCACTTGGAATACCGTGTACAGTTTTGAACTTCTTGTCTACGAAAGGATGTTGATTTACTGGAAAGTGTTCAGACGAGGAGTATTGGTGTGGTAACTGAAGACACCGAATTTTAGTATATATATATATATATACTCTAGTGACATTACCGTGTTTAAGTTTAAAACGTCTGGAGAGTTTGTTTGTGAGCCCTGGTTATTAAACAAATGACCTCTCACACACTGCACATGACAGATATCTAAGGGCTCACGTATTGTTACAAATTTTTCTCTACGTTCACTTTTAGGTTGTTAAAATTACTGTTTACATGTATATAATGCTATCCTTTCTTAGTCCAGACAGACTATTTTAGGAGTTTTTTTTTCAGAATATCTAGAAGAGCCGTCAGACATTATGTCACTTGTCCATTGTTGTAAATAAAAACTGACTTTACATTGTCTTAACATTTTCTTCAGTTTGACTCAATCGAGTTAAATTTTCGGTTGCAACACTGAAACTCTTTTACTTTTCGAATATCTAGTTAATTGCGATGCTGCTCGTATTCGTACACTCTTTACAAAAACAACTATATTTATATCAGTGAAATATTTCTTTTAGCTGTTTCGCAAAAACATTTCGTATTGACATTCCAGTATTCATGGTCATTTCACAAAGTGTTGGTGTTTTAGAATTTATAAAACTCTAATGGAGATTGACATGCGAGTATATATTTTTTGATCATTTCGAATAGGAAAAAGCATGGAAGAAATTTGACTGGAAGAAAATCTGCAGTGTTGTTCTCAAATATAAATTTGTAGCGGTTGCAAAGTAAGTGAGAGATATTTAAACGATTATAGAGAAGTTATTTACAATATATTATCATTATAATTGCAAGTAAAAGCTCTATTTAAAATATTTTTTTTCTACTAATGACATAAAGAACAGAAATTATAGTATTAAACCACAATTGTTACACTATTTAAGTGGGAACTTTCTGGTGTTACAGCGGTAATAAGTTAAGAAATATCCGTCCATTTCAGGGATCATCCTAATGTGGGATTCTCTGGTTCACTGATTATCGTAGGTAAGGAAAGCATCAACTAACCTGATATTCGTAGCTTGGTTTGAGTACGTAATTCAACATTTCTTGGTGAAACACGGGCGTAAGACTGCTTGACAAAGGGGGTACAATCCACACCCAATCTGCAGGACAACCACCCCGCTGTTTTTGTTCATTTTCCATATGTTTCATAAAACTTTCAGCAAGGGTATGATGGTCGACAATTACAATGTTTTGCTTCTGCGGTAAAGAAAAAAAAACAAGTCTGTTAAAGAACAGATTTTTAGAAAAACATGTTTAGTTCTGATGATATCTAAATGTGCACTACGTCATGTTATATCCGAGACCCACTTAATAGTTAAATACCATCTTCAGAATCCCAAAATAAAATCCTACACATTTCACTGAAATAAAACATTCTATAGATGAGTTTGTCTCAATATTTTTAAAGTCTTACTTGTCACTCAAAGCTCTGACTCAGCTAAGTCAAAACTTTCAGCTGTATGTTATTATGTCTTCTAGAACGGTGTTTTTCAACCCTCAATACCTGTAGGTGTTATGTTTGTTCCTTTATGTGAAATCCTACGGACCGGCAAGGTTGTTGTGTAATTTTCATGTGTAAATCCCCCCAGTGACAGAGTGTTAAGTCTTTGGACTTACAACGCTAGAAACCGGTTTTCGATAGCCGTGGTGGGCTGAACACATATAGCCCTTTGTGTAGCTTTGTGCGCCACTACAAACAACCAACCAACCAAAAGTTTCTTGTGTCACGAAAATATCAAGATTTATAACTACTCAACCGCCAGTGTTAACGAATTGATGACAATGACAGATCTGAAATTGTTTGCTTATTTCTACACTCTTGTCATTAATCAGTGTTGTACATTGTTTCTCAACCTTTTCGTTTCTTCTCCAAACTGTCTTGGACTATTAAAATGCAAGTGTAACGAAAAACAATACGTTGGGGGGGGGGCGTAAGAAAAATTACTACAACAAGAAAAAGTGTAAATTGTCCTAATTAATTATCAACATTCTTTTGATCAAAAGTTGACGTGGTGAATTAAGTTATCCTGGATCATAATCTTGGCTAAAATAAAAAGTTACTAATTGGTTATTATAATGACATTCTCCTAATCTAATCTAATAAAAAAATTAAAATTTATTACAATATTTTTATTTTGTCTTCACATATTGTTAATAGATGTTATTACTGATATATCTAGCATTAAATATTTTTTGTCTCCATATGATGTAAATATATGCTATTACTGACATCTGTAGTGTTAAATATTTTTATTTTGTCTTCACATAATGTTTCCAGTTTGCGAAGTATACAATTAAGTAACTTAAAGAGAATAGTTCTGTAACATACACGTTCAAAATATAATCCGACAGGTGAGACTCGAAAAGTTTCAAATATTAATTCAGAGACGTATGTAAGTAATTTATAAATATAAAAATGGCCCGTGATATATTCTCAAGGCTAAGCAGAAAAGAGTGAAGCGCCTAATACAGTTGTTAGGCCTACATACAAACGGCTTTGTGGTTAAATTTTCGTACATTTTGTTCGCATTCTATTATATGTAATTGATGAAGCAGCCTTAAATCTTAGTATCGTCCATATGTGATAACACCCACCACGTGCAATGCGAATAGCTGAATACATTTTAATTCTACATTAGACATAATGAAGAAGGACAATCGTTACCTGATAGCTGTGTAAAACAGCAATATTGATTTCAACCAACGCTTGGTCCTTCCACAGAGTTGCCGGACTTGATGTGTCTAGTCCCATCTTCAGGGCTACTTCCTGGATGAATCACGTTTAAAATATCATGTATTAAAGAAAGATTGTTCAATCCTGACGAGAAACTGTATTTTATCTGTGTCAGATTTTAAACATATAGATTCTTCTTTTAGCCAATTGTCAAACTAAAATGCTCTTACTTATATATCTTAATAGTATAAATATTTACTATGCTGTTGTTGGGCTTAGCCGCTTAGTATTCTTCTACAGTAGGTATCTGTGACTTGTCGATAAATTCAACGATAAATGAACAGCACGCATTTCACTTGTTTTCAAAATAATATATATATACAGAACAAATTAACGTATATACAATACATTTTTCAACACTATCGATATTATGGCAGATCACAAATACCATATATGTAGTTCTTTCCTTCTTGTCAAATATCCACTTAGGCCTAATCAATTACTTTAGAATTTCAGTCGACAAGCCGAACTATCTTCTCTATTTCTATCGCACTAGTATTCTCCGTGATTCACTTACAATTGTGGCTCGAGTTACCGTAATCATTTGGTCTTCTTTCTTCTGAAGATCCTCTGTTTTTTGTCAAAGTGCACCCAGGCTGATTCAATTACTTTAGAACCACGCTTTGACGGAATAAATGATTTTATCTTCTTTTCTACTGTTAATCTCACTGTGACACATAAAAATTTAGACCTATCACTTCTACGTACTTAACTTTCACGCCAATTTTATCTTATTTAGTATTGTCTTGCCTGCTGCTATATTGCTCGTCTCACGCTATATGTATCTATATTATCTAATCGTCTAACCGCCTTCATATTCTCGACATCAATGAATTATTAACAAAACCTCCTACAATCGTCTGCTTTCAACTCTTATTAGAACAATACTTTATATCATGACAATCTGGCTTAGGTTTGAGACGAGCTTCACTGTAGAAATTCATAACGCGGTTGTTAATAAATCCAGACTATGGATTCTATTAAATTTATAGTTGCTCTCATAACTTAAATATATTGGTATTGACAAGAAAGGTGACAATAAGAAGATATTTCAGTGTTTCATTTAGGGCTTGTTGAATAGACAGCTATTCAGTAATGTTGTATTAAGTGTTCTAAAGCAAATATAAGTTGATCTTACTAGGCTATGATCAGTTAAAGGATAATATTCTCTATAGCCTAACTTGTTTTTTCTGATACGTGTCTTTTTCCTGTAAAATTAATATGGTATAAAGACAAGTATTTTTCATGTGCTTACAAGCCCATCGGGGACAGGATTTATTATAGTTTCTAATAATATATTGAGTGTTCTAGTTTCCTTACCTCAGTGATGTTATAGTGATGAGGGTCACATAGATTACGGGTTCCAATCTCGGTACCCATGTACCACCCATTGAAAGGAGCAGCAGGGAACGATATCCCCCCACAATCAAATAGCAGCCCCGCTACAGTAGGAAGAGCAAACCATTCCAAACCCATCTCCGCAAACCACTCAAAACGAGGGTGTTCTAGCTTGACTCTCAGTATCAGTTCGTCTGGAACATCGTACAATTTTGGCCCTTCTCCTGGTGCCGAGAGTATCCAGGGCAAAATATCAAACCGTCCACCTTTTCCCTTCCATCCCAATCTCTGGCACACCTACAAAATGAAAGGTGCGAGAATACTTTTCATCAACGCTGCTTATTTTGTACAATTTAGTGTTATATATGTTTGTTCGCATAATTGAATATTATAAAGAAAGCTTCAGAACACTTGTATTAAGAGCTTGGTTGAAGATGTTTTGCCATAGAACGTATAACTATCCTAATAAATAAAATATATTTCGAGTTCTCAAAATCTCGTACCCGAGTGAACTGGACATGACCTGGATCTCCGATCGTGCTGCCATCTGGTTGAAGATAACCAGCGTAACTAAGCAGCTGAGCATTCCATAGACGAAAATCTTCCTGTCCGTTTTTTCTTGGCGGGAAAATGGTGATCATAGACCTGTAAAAAGGCATCAATTAAAGTATTACACGTATAATGTAATAATTCATTTCTAACCAATAGACATATTTTTGTTCTGACGCCATACTAAAAAAACAAGTGAAGCATGGAGTTTGTACATTTCTTGTCGTTAAACGGGTCCTTGAATTGCGCAAAGATTTTGATAAGTTAGATGACATTACAACATAAGTACGACTTAAATAAATATCTAAAGTTAAAGATATTACAATGTTATTTTAGCATCAATATTGGATTTTTCTTTTTAAGGTTTTTCAATAAAAAAAACGCTAAGGATTTGATTAATTTTTTGAATAAATTTACACGAGCCAAACCTTATATTTCCTCCGTTTGTAGCATATTCTACATGACGACAAAGAAACTCGAACATTTCTTGCGTGGTCTGCACGTGTCGTGCATCCTGCAACTCAAGATTTTTCCACTGGATACGTGCAATGCAGCGCGAGGAGTTTCTCCAACCAAGTCTAGTTCCAAACACTAATTCGTCTGTGGTAAGGTTGTAGATGCCGTTTTTCTCTACTTCAGCTTTGACTTCTTCCCACCGCTTGAGGTACTCATCACATGTATCCCTACACCAAATTAAAACTAAAACATTGAAATGTCCACCTATGTTCATGATTCTTGTTAATAAGACACAATAAAAGCTTAACAGGAAATCTAGAAAACTGCAGATGAAAATTCAACAATAAAGTAAGCCTAATATGGAAAACCATATTTATATAATTTCCTTGAGGTTTCGTCAAGATTCATTTTAAAGACCAAACATTTTTTACGAGTTCATTTAATGAAGATAGTCGTGAAAATACCACAAATGTATTTTAGAAGTTAAGATTGTTGTATTCTTCGTAAAGGTTACGCTTTTCAT